GCGTGTGAAACCGCCCGGAAGTAGCTAGTCTATATAAACATGAAACCCATTTACCGTTGTCACGCCATAACTTGAGAACGGTTAGACCGATTTGGCTGATTCTTTTTTGTTGTGTTTATTATTGTCAGGGGAAGGTTCTTATGACAGAAGTCTTGAAAATCCTACGGGAACGGGAGAAATCGGGATTGCGCGTACGAAGTCGCGGGCAGAAACTAGATAGATATAAGAACCTAACACTCTCACCCTCTCTATTCTCAAGGTAAATGGGCTCCATGAGGATTTTCCATCTTGTAGAGAAAAACCTCAAAAAGGCTTCATCAAAATTCAACAGTTGACGTATTTTAACTCATGTGATGATAACGAATAAGATAGATAAGTAGCTTTGGATAATGTTTTTTAAATACCTGGCTATATGTTGTAAACACATTTTTACAACTTTTACTTGACTCGAGAATCGAACCTACAATCACAGTAAATACGTTTAAAAAATTACACACACCTAAAATATAAGCATTAAACAAGCTACCAACATATCTCGCAAGAAACAGCTGAATATTATTTAATGATTGCACTTTCAGCTTTCAGTACCTTTCAGCGAAGCGGCCGTTGGCAATGAGTCGCGAAACACTAAAACGGATTGATATGATAGATGGCGCTGCCTACGCACTATTTATTTTAAATATTACCGTTTATTTTACTCACATTTCCTCAATACACACTTTGTAGACAATGATGAATATCTAACACGCCTCTGAAACACTTAAAACGCAAACGTAATACAAAATCTAGCCAGAGAAATAGAAATAGTCATAACATATAAAACCTATTTAAAAAAATATTGTCCATGGCTGTATGTGTGTGTGCCTTGGCTCAAAACTAGATATTTGTTATAAAAAATTAAGTCAGTGTGACCACCTGTCTGCTATTATTTTCTACCAATGTTGAATTTTAATAGAATTATACAATTTTTTGTTTTGAATTTTTGAAGATTGTAATAATTTTTAAAAGATTTGGCACTTTCTTTGTTGTCTGTTCGCTGCTAATAATTTTACGGATATAATAATACAAACATTGTATTCATCTACGTAATATTATTACGATGATTATTACCGTCATCACGCAACTCATTTCATGGTTAGCGCAGTGGTCGGATGATGTTGCGGGCAACATGAAGTGGATATGATTTTGACACAGAACAATTTTAAGTGACATTAAAACTCGACACGTTTACTCGATACGCAATGCATAATTTTCTTTACATTTCCACCAGTAAACGTTTTAGTTCTAACAAATGAAACCTATTATTGTACAATTTATAAAACTTGATTGAAAAATGAGTTCGCACACTAAAAGTTAAAAGCGTTCGGATTATTTTGTACACAGAAAATAAACATGGCGGCTATTTTCGCGCGTGTTTTCATTTATTTATAGTTCACAACAAAGTATTGTTTAGATGGTAGGTGCCATTGTTGTGTGAATCATTGCGTTGGTTTTAAATGAAACATTAATATTATAATTAGGTGCTAATTGGCAATGGTTTTTGTGTTGTTAGGTGGAATTGTGGAATATGTTTTTAGATTTTTTTAAGGGGGGAAAATCATCGATTAACTGCTCCCGCCTGGGTGAGGCGGGAGGGAGTGTCAGACTCTTACTGACTAAAAATCACCCCGTTCTTTCTCCTGCACGTCGAGCCGGAGGTAGCCCGTTAGGTTCTCCGCGACATGTTTTTAGATTTAAACTCTCTTTTATAGAAAGACATTAGAATAACAAGGTTTAATGTGTCTACCATCTGGGATGCAAGTGTTCTTGGATTTGATTGCCGTGTCTCATAAAATATAACGACCTAAGAGACTTGTCTGATTTTTTGCGTAACAAACAAACAATACATATACAACATCGCAAAGTGTAATAAGACAAAATTATACACCGTGGCATCTATTTCGTTTTTGTCCCGAAGTAAAATGGTTATATCTCGGTAATACAATAATCTTACAAAGAAATAAAAATGTTTAAAGCAAAAAAATGACTGATGAACCATTGCAAAAAGCAAACTTCGAAAGCGCATACGAACTCATAGTACATTATCAAAACAACACATCTATTGCCATGTAATTCTCCAAGAGGTATTTCCCATCGTGTGGCACGTGCTATGCGAATAGTACTTACAAATTAATGTCTAGTGTTTCATGTGCATATTTCCATGATTTTTTTATAAAGTAAAAAATTATGTTTTTCGCCGCGGGATGAAAACGAAATAACAAATTTCATGGTGTATAGGTAATACAGATAAATGTAGGCCCCCCCGTCGAGCGTCCGCGTTCCTTATGATCCAACGGCACACGCGACATTTGGAGAGAGAAAGAAAGAAAATGCATTTATTTGGCCATTGGCACACAAAAACAAGGATCATTATAGAAATAAAACAAATACAGTCAAAATAAAAACAAAACATTAATAATACATTTTATAAAAGGGAAAGCAGCATGGTGCATTGTTTCTTATGATCCACCGGGTGCTCATAAGGACGCTCGAGGGGTTAAGGGGGAAAAATCATCCAATGACTACAATACAGAATTTTATTCCGTTTTATTCCAAACAGAAATAAGCAATAATTTCAAAAGAACTCAACAATGTAATAACGCTTTCATCTCACGATAATTAGAAGAAGTAAACAAACTTCGCGATTACAAAGAGAAATAATGTTTACATTTATCAATACAAAGGTTACGCACAGGAAACATTAGTAATGTCTGTATGTATGTTCGTAATCTATGACATAATACGCATAACATACTTATTATTTGATCTTGGAAAAAGATTTAGACGAGAATTACAGTTACTTGGAAGTATAAATGGAAATATTTGCCATTCTGGTGGGATAAAGGGTGGTTACTCTAGAAACCAATCTCAATGTCAATGCAATTTCAATCCAATAAAATCTCAATAATTATTCAGTGTCAAAACTATACAACCACAATCGTAGCTGTTACGATAGCATTCAGAGTACGGAATATAAAGACAAACTCAATACCATTTAGTTCATTCAATATCCACGCAATACGGTGTTGCAACTCAAGAGTACGAAATTTCACAATACCAATGTCGATCGATCGGAATTGGATTCAAGAGTAAGCCCCCATATCACACCAATCCATCAATAAGTAAGTAAGGGATTCTTATAAATAAGAACTTCGAAATAAGTCGCCTAGTTCGCCAAAATGGTCGCCCGTGCGTTTACTGAAAGGGAAGTATCCAGCTCGACTCTTGGGCTAAATTAACTGATAATAATAGATGATTTTTTTATTCTTCTAAAATTCTCAGTAATGAAGTTTGGAAATGTACCCGTCTCACAGGACATTAGACTCATGGTCTCCTATATGGAACATAAGATGGGAAGGGGTTACTGTCTCTATAGGTACTGAATCAATCCATTTTACGTGACACATAACACCACGCCTTTTATCTCCAAAGGGGAAGGCAGACGTGCACATTACGGTACTTAATGCCACTGTACAACGTAATACTCCCTATCTACTACGTCCCATGTAATAGGTGGTGAGCGTATCGCCATGGCATATACCGAGCACAATTCCAAACACCGTGCTACTACTGAGAATTTTTAAAAACCCCAGTAATGTTTTGCCTGATACGAGAATTTAACGCGAATCCCCTTGCCCGGCAGTCGCACTTGCGATTACTCGGCCAACAAGGCATTTATACCTGCATACTAAATAAGTCCTCTGTAGGTACTCACATACCTCGATCACAATTAGCACAAATCCTAAAACCTATAATTACCGCTCCACTAATTAGTAAACTGAAATTCAGTGAAATAATTCTATAATAGGCTATCAAACTGCAATGTACCTCTAGAGGTAAGTAATTAGAGGCAAAACACGTTGCCGTAACGTTTATAGGTTTTGCCAAAACAAACGATAAAGTTAGGAATTGGCAATTCAGGGAATCGTAATGATTGAATTAAATCGAAGCTTATAAAGCATTGCGGTAATGTTACTAAATAGTGTAGGTAGAGGAAAATTGAACACTGTACTTGATTAAACATTGTACTTTTTGTTTATCAAACAGAAGACGTGGATATAATCAATTATATTTTACTACCTTCTGTCAGCGGTTTCGCCCGCGTTCACAGGCCTACGAGGCAGGCATTTGTGTAATACATAAATTCTAGTTTCAGTTGTTGACTATCTATTTAGCTGTGATCAGGGCCGACTTAGAAGCTTTTTTTAAGGGGGAAAATCATCCAATGACTGCTCCCGCCTGGGTGAGGCGGGAGGTAGTGTCAGACTCTTACTGCCTAAAAACCACCCCGTTCCTACTCCTGCCCTTCGAGCCGGAGCCCTGGTAACCCGTTAGGTTCTCCGCAGCTCCGATTCGGCTTCAGCCCTATTGGTCCCCATCATTGGTGGTCTGATGACTCCTTGAGGCGCGCGGTTTTAGACGCTATGGTCCTTGGACACACAATAATTCGAGACCCTTGTGAAATGTTTCTTTTCTTTAACGTTGCACCACACTAGGATTGTCTCCTGTATCGTGATTGCGTTAACAAACATACAAGTTCACATACACATGACACCCAGACCCGAAAAAACAATTTGCGGATCACACAAAGATTTGCTCCGTGCGGGAATTTAACCCTCTACACCCTGCGGGGCAGCCGGTGCAGTGGCAGTGTAGCTGGTGCGTGTCAGTCGTAGATATTGTCGGTACTTCGGGAATGCCTGAGGATGGAGGTCCCGGGTGCTCTTATATCTATCTATTATCTACTGGCTGTGATATGTATTGGCTATGATAAGAATTAACTGATGATTGAAAAATCGGCCCTAATAGTGTTTGCAAACATATCCACGACACAGGAGACTATCCCAGTACAAGGAAACATTACAAAACATTCTATACATAGTTTCGAAGTAGAGATGACATAAGCTACTCTTCACAGCTATCTACTAAATATACTCAAATGTCTATTTGTTTGTTTACAGATGAACGAGGGAGCAGCGCTAGTGTTCGCAGACGAGCTGAAACAGACACTAGACAGATATTTGTTTGGCATATGCCCTCAGAGCTTCAAGGTAAATAGATTGTCCATTTATTACTCAGGGTATTGAGTTGACGGCTTCGTTGGTCGAGTGGAAATGCGAGTGCTAAACAAGGGATTGAAGGTTAAATTCATGAGTCAGATGACGTATTTGGAAAGTCTTTTCGAATTCTTATTAGTAACTACCTTCTGGCCGCGCCCGTTTTTCTCATCATTTGTGATTTTTGGTGTTAAGTAAGTTTTTATTATAGCATAAGCCGGTAAACTAACAGACGGATCACCTGATGGTAAGCAATCGTCGTCGCCCATGGACACCTGGAACACCAGAGGCGTTACAAGTGCGTTACCGGCCTTTTGGGGATTAGGAGTTTGAGGATCGTTGGGGATTCAAGAATTGGGGAGATTGGGGAAGGGGAGGGTAATTGGGCCTCTGTGATTCGTGAGTTAGTATAATATTTTTTTATAATATCACGTGGTTCTTTTTTTTGAGGGGATAAAATCATTCAATGACTTACGCATTGGGTTAAGCGAGAAAGAGTGTCAGACTTGATCAGACTCTTACTGACTAAACACCACCGTTCTTACTCCTGCCCTTCGAGCGGAGATAGAAAATTTTGATCTTACCGGTGAAAAGCAAGTTTCCTTGTATATTTGCAACTCTATTCATGCTACGCGATTTAAAGATATGCTCTTTGTATGTATAACAAAAGAACTTCTTTTTTATATCGGGACAAACCCGCCACAACCTCCCAAAACCGCAACTCCTGAAAGCCAGGATCTACAGACACAACCATGAAAACATCGGAACACTGAATTCCAGGGATGTAACGATAGTGTCCACTTCCCTCGGTAAATTACTGCAGGAGACAAAATTAATTAAGCATAGAGACCAAAGAGACTGTACAACTGGGAGAATCCCAGCCGCCAAGCACCACAGACCACGGATATATGACTAAAAAATAAGAAAAGAATTTCTTTTGAGTAGTGTATTTGCGTGATAATCACGTAAACGATCTCAGGATCGTTTCCTGAGCAAATTTTTAAGTAAATGTTTCCATGTAACACCAAGAATCTATGTGTAGTTAGGTATAGGTACCAGTGTTAGACTGGCCTACATCAAAGAAAATTATTTCAGTCATATCCTTCAAATCGGACGTCCGCTCTGATCGAAATCGGGCAGTAGATCAATAATATTATTTGTTTATCGGACTCATGACCTAATATAATATATAAATTATTAGGTCATATGGAAATATTTTAAACTAGCTTCTGCCCGCGACTTCGTACGCGTAATCCCATTTTCCCCCCGTTCCCGTTCGTGATTTTCGGTAAAAAGTAAAAAAAAGTATTGTATAAAAAGTATCCTATGTCCATCTCCTGGTTCTAAGCTACCTCCCTACCAATTTCCATCTAAATCTAATGATATTGGCATCTTACTTAAATAACCGGCAACAATACACTGAAATAGTAAATATTGACATAAAAGCCAAAAAAGAAATTAAATACTGTTCTCAGTCAAGAAAGATTAAGTACGGGGTTCCGCAAGGAAGTGTACTAGGGCCCTTGTTATTTTTAATTTACATTAATGACCTTCCAAAACACCTTAGTCACCCAACTGTACTGTTTGCTGATGATAGCACGATAATTATTAAGTCAGATAAATCTTACAATTATGAACAAGAAGTAAACAATATTCTAAAACAGACAATAACGTGGTTAGAATCTAATAATTTACATATAAATCTAGGAAAAACATATTTAATGCATTTCTATCAGCGTCAATTACCACCACAACTAAATATTAATTACAATGGCTCGACGATTACAGAAGTGAATACTACCAGATTCTTGGGTTTAGTACTTGGAAACCGCATATCGAATCGGTGTGTAAGAAAATAAACAGTTTTGCATATGCTCTTTATAAATTATCACGTTCAGCTAACCAGGAGACAGTGATCACCGCTTATCATAGTTACGTGGAATCTATACTGAGGTATGGGCTGATTTTTTGGGGTAACTCCACCGATAAAAATGACATATTCATAGCACAAAAAAGATGTGTACGCGCTATACGTGGCCTACGTCCTAGGGACAGTTGTAAGCCACACTTTCAAGACTTAAAACTGTTAACGTTTCCATGTTTATTTATTTACGAAGTAGCCACCTTTGTTAAATGTAACAGATGTCTATTTGAATTAAAGCCCCCACGCGATTCCAGGCTGAGGCAAAAGGATACTGGTGACCTTCAAGTAGTACACGGTAATACAGCGCTTTTTAGTAAGAGTATTTTCAGAGTTGCTGCACAAATATATAATAGATTACCTAAGGAAATCAAAGCACTAGACTTACCTCTTTTCAAAAAAAAACTAAGGCAGTTTTTAATAACTAAATGTTATTATAATTTAACCGAATTTATGACTGATGACAGAGGAAATTTATAATGTTAACAATGAAGATTTTTATTGTTTCCTTAAGTTAATGTAATTATTTAGTTACTTAAATGTTATTATAGTTTAATTGAGTATACGGCTGATAGAGTAAATTTTCAACACAAATAATAGTTTTATTAAAACTTGATGTTAATATTAATTTAGTTTGTAATTAGGTGTATTATGTTCCATAATGTAGACAGAGAAGATTATTGTCTGTAAACACACTAGATTAAGAACATACTATAAAAATCTTGTATGTCTGTACAGACACAATGTGGCGCACTACCATAATATTATCTACCATCTATTGTAACATACCTACATTGACGAAATAAACAATATTTGTATTTGTATTTAATCGATTGAGGCGTTCTTGAGTTATAAATAGTGTAACTAACATGACTTTCTTTTATATATATAGAAGATATGCGAAAGTAAGTTTGTTAGCCACCTTTTTCCTTACGTTTAATATTAGTTACACTTCAACTGACTCAGACCTCGCTTGCGTAGGTACAAATGTGGGTAATCAGGAAGACCAAAAAGAACTTTTACGTAGATAAAACTGTGAACTGAAAGCTACAATTGTTTACGCATTATAATGGTATAACAAAATGTAAGAGTCGTCCGATTAGTCAATCTCTTAATTGTGTAGCATAATATTTATCATCATCATAATATCACGCTTTTTAACCCAAAGGGGTAGGCGGATATGCACATTACTGCACTTAATGCCACTGTACAATGTAACACTCACTTTTCACTATTTATGTTATGAGTCCCATGTAATAGGGGGCGAGCCTATTGTCATATACCGTGCATGATACCAGACTCCGTGCTACTACTATTTTTTTTTAAAAAAACCCCCGTGGTACTTTGCTCGACCTGGGAATCGAACCCGAGATCCCTTGCCCAGCAGTCGCACTTGTTACCACTCGGCCAACGAGGCAATCGTTAGCATAATTTATTAGTTACAAAATATAATTTAGCTAACAAAGGTTTTTTAATTGGTTGATGAATTTAAGACCTGGGGACTTACTTACTCTTGAATCCAATTCCGATCGATCCACATTGTTATTGTGAAATTCGTACTTTTGAATTGCGACACTAGCGCCCATTGTATCCGTATTGCGTGGATATTGAATGAACTAAATGGTATTGAGTTTGGCTTTATATTCCGTACTCTGAATGCTATTGTAACAGCTACGATTGTGGTTGTATAGTTTGTTGTAGATTAAAATTGCATTGACATTGAGATTTTTTTTTTTTCTTCTTTGGCAACTGAGTCTCCAAAATGGTGTTGTCGACTATACTGCCAGTGTCGAGCATTGAGATTGGTTTCAACGGTAAGCACACGGTTTGACAAATTTTCAAAACGTCATTGATGAAATACAGATTTTGTTCGTACCTCGATCACAAGGATAAATCGTATTCATAAACAAATCAACATTCACTTCAAAATGTTCTAAAAATAACTTCGAGAATTGTTTTCACTTCGAACTTAGTGGAAGTTGGGAATAACGAACGTTAGCAGCATTGCGCATGCGTCAAGCCGTCAATCTTTAAATATGTTCGCGTTTCCAATAAACAGCGCAGGCATTTATAATTGTTTATGTATTTGTGTTAAGATGGAGATTGAGAGTGGTAACATCACTCCTTTTATCCCTGAAGAGGTAGGCTGAAGTGCACATTACGGCACTTAATACCACTGTAGGTACAATGTAACACCCACTTTTCACTATTTACAGAGAAAATGAATGATTTTACTCCCTCTATAAAAGGAGTCGTGGTCGCCCGGAGGTTTAAGACGCCCGCTTCTCATGCATGAGGGCGCGAGTTTGAAACCTACCAACAGCAAGTACCAATGTGACTTTTTCCGAGTTATATGTACTTTCTAAGATTATTTAGACACCACTGACAAACGGTGAAGGAAAACATCGTGAGGAAACCTGGGCTTATAATTTCTAATTATAAGTTTGTAATCGCCAACTCCCATTGAGCAAGCGTGGTGATTAATGCTCAATCCTTCTCCGTGTCAAAAGAGGCTTAGCAGTGGGAATTTATAGGCTGTAGATGATAAAAGGAGTAGACAGTCTTATTATGATTATCATGATTACTTTGTATTTCAATGCATTGAATGAGAAATGACAATATTATCGCACAGTCTCGTTGGTTCCAGTTGCCGCTCAAGGGGAAGAATATGACCAATGTCGCCTGTGACCTCGATCTGGATCAGCAGGACCTGGCTGGCAGGTGAGGACTTGAGTTGTAATAGAATTTAGTAAATTCAGGGCTAAAGGTTTTTCCTCATCGTGCTAGAACTTTCGTTAAGACTACGGCAGATATCAGTTGGTAAATGGGAAACTAATGCCGGAATACTGAAACGTTACCCAATTATAAGTCGTGTTCAAATATCGTGCCGTCTCTGTCATTTTACAAAGAATTTGTAGAGATAGAACTATACTTAAGCGCGACTTAAAATTGAGTAGCGTTTCAGTATTCCGACATATGTCTACTATATAAAAATAAATCGGGTTGTCCTTCCTGACGCTATAACTCCAGAAACTCACGAACCGATTTCCACGGTTTTCAATTCCTTGGAAAGGTCTCGGACTCCGTGAGGTTTATAAAATAATAATCAAATAAAAATTTTCTTCATCTTTTAATCACCAAACGAACTGTTACATAAAACGAAGACATCTGATGACGAATCGGAGTTCGCCGGGTTTGCTAGTAATTATTATATTTTCAACTTTATCAAATGCATACAGTTGAAAAACTATTGAAGAAAGTCAAGATGTAGCAACCGATTTTTATTCTTATCACTATCGGCACTACCGGCCCTGGGCTGGACTATGCTAACTTTGTACGTTTGTTACATAGCCCACTCGGTCGCAGGCATACTTAAAATATATAAAAATAACTTGAATCCTAAATACTATAATTTCAATTATACCTTTAGCTTGTATTCCATTTGATATTAATTCTATTGTATGTTAATTATATTTTTTTAATACTCCGAATAACATGTCAAGTGTGCTCCCTCCAAAACTTATGTTGTTGTGCCCGACAGGGTTCACATTGTGTCTTAATTATGTTTACCACCTAAGTAATACATGTGAAAAGCAATAAAGTATTGAGTATTGAGTACTTTGAAGTTTCACACAAGATTTTTAGTAATGGTAGCTTTTAATTCCACAGATTGGCAACACTAGCATTACGTGCTCACACGGCTGCGCGGACTGACTGCGGTCGGTTTGCGGCGGCACTTGCTAACACGCTCGGAGACTTAGCGCGCACTGCCGCTAATAGACAGCTTTTAGCTGCCGGTTTGTATATTCCTTCAATAATTTAAGTATGTGGGATAATTTAATATTCTGTTGGACAGGACGATATTGGTAAGCAATCAGTGACACCCGCAACACTAGTAGAGTTTGAATTCTTTGAGGGGATTATTGAGTCTCTGTAACTTCACTCGCATATAAATAGCGAAACAGAGCAAGCGTCGTTTCACGATGGTAAACTGTGAGATCGCGGTATCCCTCCGATAGAACGATAGATACTGCTTATTCGTTCTGAAGCATTGGTCTCTTAATCTATGAACTATAATTATGACTTACTAGCTGCGCCCGCGACTTTGTCCGCGTGAAATAGTGGTTCACAGCTCCTCCCTCCGTAGTTGATAGTATAATAGTATGTAGCCTATATGTTGACCCGACCTGTCAGTAATATTCATGCAAAATTTCAAATAAATCCAGACAAACAGACAAAATTTCTAAAGACCATATTTTTGGTTTCGGTATCGACCGCGTAGATCACGCCCAAAACATTGTTTAAAAAAATATTCGATGTACAATTTTCACTTTCCTACAATTTTTTTATATGAATAGATAGAAGATAGATTACAAAACCACTCGACTCACATTAAATTAGACAGTCTACATAAAACGTAGAGTGATCATACATGTGTGCATAAATGCATTTTCACAATTTGCTGAAACCGCAACACAGTGTGAACTGTTAAGACATTTATGTACCGTAACTTATTGTGCGAAGCGAAATAGCAGTTATACTCGCACAGTAACCAATTGTTCATAGCAAGGAGGACATTAAAGTCGGATGTGTTGTTTGCTCTGTATTTCACTTTTATGATATGTTCGGTGCAACAAATCTTCAGGAAACCAGTTATAAAGTTAAATTTTATGGGGTTATGGTACTTATTTACTAGCGGACATATAATACATAACGACTTACATGGCTAATGCTAGTTTTTTATAATTTATTTATTTATTTATTGAATGGTGAATCAACAGCTACATTACATAGATTTAGCAGAAAAATAGTATAGTATAGTAGTATATATAATAACGATAGAAAATTGTATGTATGTATATTAAAATAATCATATTGTTTTCTGTTGTATAATGTTAAGTATACGGGTCTGTAGAAATAAAATGTGTTACTATAAGAATTATATTTAGAACTCCTCTCGCCTGCGATACAGGAATGTCCTAGTGCAGGCAAATAACATTGTGAGGACAATTGTACGTATTTACGCTCTGTTTTTGTATTTCGCATTTTTTGAATTATGAATAAAAAAATTTATTATAAATTTATATTATTATATTTTAACCGTCTTAAAAAATAGGTTTTCAATTTAACCTGTATGTATGTGCCTGTTTGTGCGCCATTATTTCGCGATTGACTGAATCGATTCTGGTGCAGTTTTCAGAAAAGTGTCTGTTACACTTAGGAGAAGGTTTAAGTACCTATATTAATTAACCGACTTCAAAAATGGAGATTGAAGTCGGTTTTTTAGTTAAGTTTTTTTTATAGCATAAGCCGGTAAACGAGCAGACGGATCACCTGATGGTAAGCAATCGGCGTCGCCCATTGACACCTGGAACACCAAGGAGTTACAAGTGCGTTATCGGCCTTTTGGGAATTGGGAATTTGAGGATTGTGGAGGATTCGGGGATTCGGGAGACGGGGACTAGGGAGGGGGTAATTGGGCCTCCGGTAACCTCACTCACACGACGAAACACAACGCAAGCGTTGTTTCACGTCGGTTTTCTGCTCGGCCGTGGTATCACTCCGGTTGAGCCGTGCCGAAGCATGGCTCTCCCACACTTGAAACTTTTTAACTAAACAAAAAAACTTTTTTAGTTTAGTTAATATATTCAAATGTCATGATAAAAACAATTCGTTTCTATATTTCCACAGCTGCTAGCAATGAGCAAAAGAAACGAAAACTATCAAAAAGCCAAAAGATGAAGATTCAGGCGAAACAGAGGACTGCTCTCGCTGTCAAGAAGAAGGCCGCCGCCGCCGCTGCAGCTGCCGCCGCTAAAATGTCAGCTTAAGTAATGAATACTACTTTTATACTCGATTAAAAACGCACAAATTATTGGGTCATGAATGTACCCTAACATTATAATGTTGTTTTTCTTTTCGAATCTCTTTAAAGCCGTCACTATACTGTGTAAGATTGTATTCGCTATCCGTTTAATATTTTATGTTATAAATTATAATAGTAGACTGTAGAACAATCATTCAGTTAACTGATACAATGGAATAGATTGCAAAATTGTATTGGTAGTGATTAATAAGTAATTTAATATAACACGACTGTCTATAATTATCTCTCTGCTTGATAAATCTTTTTTCTTGCTTCACACAGACATGCAATAAGCATCAATCACCTGATCACTACATACACATGGTAGAGGTGACTTTAGACTTATTTATTTGTTATTCACGCCCAGGTTCGTCCATTTATATTAGTCTATTTTTTGTTTAAAATCTATCCGGCATTCAATGTTGGATTTTGTTCTCTAAGCTAATATTCACTTGCTACATGCAAATGGTTTATATATACCGTAACACAAAGATTGTATTTTACTTATATATATTTCTTATGACTTGTGTATAAATGTATTTAAGATGTATGCATTCAATTGTAAATGTTCCTAATACGTATATTTAGCGTATAAGTGTGAAAGATGATGCCAGTCTTGGTTTGAGTCTGAATTGATTAAAGATGTGATGTATTTATTTTAATGATTAAGCGTCAAATATTGTAATATTGTTCAGTTTTAAGTCGTTTCATAACTGAATTTTCAATTGTCTAATATTTCGTCGCTAAAATTTATTTTAACGCTAAAATATTTGTCATTTGTTCAGCAAACTACGCCAATGAACATTGTACTATGTTTAATATTAATCAACAAGAAAACCGGGCAAAATTCATCCCGCTTAAATAAAATCCCACCTTTATGCCTTCCCTGTACTTCCACGAAAATTTCAAGACCTAAATTAGGCAACTTGGTTCAGTGTTTCTCAAATTTTAGCCAGACTAACAAACGGAAACTATTTTTTATTTATATAGATTTCGTAGGCCATATAGTCGCCGTACACCACAAGCCACAATGGTGATAGTGTTGTGGTATTCAGATAAATGTTTTCAGCTTTCGAATTGACAAAGTTTCTCCCAATATATTTAAATCTAAGTATGAATTAAGGGATTTTTAATTGCTAGTCATTTGATCTAGATAAAGATCTAAAAAGTGTTAATTTGATGCTTTGTTAGTACCGTCTTTACTACAAAGACATCTGAGCTCGTGCCTAGGGGCCATCCTGAAGGAATCCCGAAGGACCGATAATTTCTACGACACACAAAGATTTGCTCCTTTGCTTCACATAGTGAGGCAAACGACTGCTGCACAAATTGTTGTTTTGGGTCTGGGTGTCATGTGTATGTGAACTTGTATGTTTGTAAACGCACACACGACACAGGAGAAAATCCTAGTGCGGTGTAACGTTAAAAAAACATTACACGGGCCCCTAATTATTGTATGCCAGCGTAGTCTAAGACGACCCTGTGCATTATTCATTGTGCGTTAATGTCAGATTAGCGCACTATTATTAATTATCTTTTTATGTATGCCTATAAAGTGTTATAACGATGTTTTATTGTCATAATGACAATGTTTATAATGGTAAGGAATTTGTAAGTAAAATATAATGTATTTTAACTTTGAAATTAAAGATATTTTCGTTAAGTAGTTCATTTATTCAACTTACTTTTACCCACCTTTTGTCCTTCTTCGTCCAAACAATTTGTATGAAAAAAATAAATGAGTAATAAAACCTATAGTAGTAAAACCTAGGTATCCTATTCGTAACAATTTCAAACGAAAATAAACTTTTCATAACTACTGTTGATAATTCTACTAAATTAGTAGGAACTTTTATAACTTGACAACATTATAAGATTTGCGAAACGTCAAACTTTAACGTCATTCGCAATGTTTTTTTTCTGCAATTTTGCAATGTCAACATGGGATGTTGAAGTACATAATAAATTCATGAATTCGTATATAAAAATATAATTTTAATTCTGTAATAGCTAAGTATTCCTATATCATCGCCTTGGGTAAGTGTTTTATGTTGAAATACGTAAAATAAACTGCTATTCAACTGTATCCTTCACCTAATTTTCTCGAAATTCGTCACGGACAACGCGAATGCGATAAATGTAGTGAAATTATCATTTAAATCCTCTATAAAGAGCTTAAATTGTTAGTAAATAATGAAGACAGTCTATCAGTGATAATAGAACATAAATAATAGCAGTTTAAAGAAATTGTAAACTTATAATGCTATTAAAATTACGTTGAAAATAATGAGCGATATGGCTACTTTTCTTATCATACAATAGTCCTATAACGTCGCATTGTACGCTAGAACGACAATAATCAATTTTACTACGTAATGAAAACTCGATTTCTAATATTTGTTTAGCCTTTTTTATGCAGGTGTGTCTTCAATATGAAATTTTTAATTTACATAACATAACATCACACCCTTTATCCCCGAAGAGGTAGGCAGAGGTGCACATTACGGCACTTAATGGCACTGTACAATGTAACACTCACTTATCACTATTTATGTTATGAGTCCCATGTAATAGGGGGCGAGCCTATTGCCATATACCGGGCACATTTCCAGACTCCGTGCTACTACTGAGATATTTTTTTTAAATCTTCAATATTACTTTGCCTGGTCTATGATACCCGATGCTCACCAGTCGCACTTATATTTACCGATCGAATAAATTTGTTTTTATAATTAAAGTGTTTTTATAATTTCAGACATTAATACAATTATAGATATCAAGATGGATGTATCTACAGAAGATAATTTAAATTTGAATTTAAATAAAAATAATACAAATACTGAAGTAATTGACAAAGAACATGAACATAGTTACGAAGGAGATGGAACGGCCAGAGAGTTACTACATTTAAATGATCATGATTACTTGTAAGTGTTTTCTTATGCTTTGAAGAGTAGACACAATGAAGATAGGGTGTAAACGGAATGATCCCAAAAAACGCAGACAAGATGATGGTAAAAAACAAGTTCTATTTTCATAAAAGTTAGGTATTAAAATGTTGTTGTGGCTCCGGGCCACATTTATGGTTTAAGACGCCCGCTTCGCATGAATGAGGGTGCGGGCTCGAAACCTACCAACGGCAAGTACCAATGTGACTTCTTCCGAGTTATATGTACTTTTTAAGATTATTCAGACACCACTGACAAACAGTGAAGGAAAACATCGTGAGGAAACCTGGACTTATAATTTCTAATTATAAATTTGAAATCGCCAACCCGCATTGAGCAAGCGTGGTGATGAATGCTCAAATCTTCTCCGTGTGAAAAGAGGCTTTGCTCAGCGGAGGGCACTTATAGGCTGTTGATGATGATGATGAAGGAATTAAATGTTTCTTTTAAGTAATAATAGTTGTAATAAACTGTTGAAGGCTGATGTTGCATGAATAATATGAATACAAAAATTATTAAAGTTGGATGAGCAATTTATTTTTGTCAGTGTTTCGGGAGTGTTCCGTTTACATTCTGTATAAAGTCTACATTTTACTAGTAGACACACATAACATCACGTCTTTACTCCCAGAGGAGGGGGGGAAGCAGAGGTTCTTTTTTTATACCACAACGGTGGCAAAAGTTGCTACTTTACTTGCATTACGGCACTTAATGCCACTGTACAATGTAACACCCACTTTTTAGTATTTATGTTATGAGTCCCTGCATGCCTCGCTGACCGAGTGGTCACAAGTGCGACTGGCCGGGCAGGGGGTCTCGGGTTCGATTCCCGGGTCGGGCAAAGTATTACTGGGTTTTTTTAATTTTCAGTAGTAGCACGGAGTCTGGAATTGTGCCCTGTATATGGCAATAGGCTCACCCCCTATTACATGGGACTCATAACATAAATAGTGAAAAGTGGGTGTTACATTATACAGTGATATAATGTGCACCTCTGCCTACCCCTTCGGGGCGAAAAGGCGTGATGTTATGTTATGTTTTGTTATGAGTCCCACCCATGTAATAGGGGGTGAGCCTATTGCCATACTAGCTTTTACCCGCGGCTTCGCTCGCGTCACAAAAGGATAAAAAGTAGCCTATGTGACATATACCAATACACACAGCGCCATCTATACCAATAATTTCGTTTTTCCTCGAGAATATCAAATTTTTCCGGGATAAAAAGTAACCCACTATTTAATCCAGACTTCTAACTTCTCGTCTGCAAAAATTCAAAGCAATCGGTTTAGTAGTTACGGCGTGATAGTGGAACAAACAAACAAACTCACTTTCCGATTTATAATATTAGTAAGAAGTAAGATACCGGGCACAATTCCAGACTCCGTGCTGCAACTAGGAGGTAGGCAGAGGTGCACCTCTGCCTACCTCCTTCGGGGATGAAAGGCGTGTTGTATTGTTGTTATATTATTCCAAAATTCATTGATAATATTTTCAACATATTTATTATTTATGAAAATGCTAATTTGAAGTATCCCCATACTAACTTACTATGTTTCCATTTTAGCACCCTCACAACACCACAGTCCAGTACCAAAACACCACAAAAGAAGCAACGCACACACTCAGTAAAGATAACCCAGCTAAAAGCGGTATACAACTGCAAATCCTGCGGTTACCGTACTATGGACCGAGATACTTTCTCTAAACACCACTGCGATCAACTCAAGATGGTACCATGTACAAAATGTGATACAAACAAAGTGCCAGACGGTTATAACAAATGCCCTAAGTGTTCCTATATTAATAAAAATCCAGCCAGTTTAAAAGTGCATATGCGTATACATGAGAAAGGGAATCCGTATAAGTGCACCGAGTGTGATTACTCCGGTAAAGACTGTAAATCGTTAATACTACACTATGGACGGATGAAGAACTTGAATTGTGGTTGCGGTTATCGGACCCATGTGAAAAAGCATTTTGAATCGCATCTGAGGTCTCATACCGGTGAGAAACCTTA